TACTAATAAAGCGCCCAAACCTGTGGGAAATCCAAAAATTTTATAAAAACTGATAGCAACGAAGTCTGGAGATGTATTCTTATCAGTGTCATGGTGACATATAGTATGCGGTTAACTTGTATGAGAATGAAGGTAAAGTAAACGATCAATCATTATCTTGTGCACGTGATGTACGTGATAAGTGATCGATCAGGGATTAAGAGATCGAGTAATGATCAATTATGAATCGAAGTATGGTAACCAGTATGTATGAATTGAGGTAATTCATTAGTAATATAAGAGTTAAACGATCGTGTGATCGTATATGAACAAATTATGATGTAAGTAGTGTGACTGGAAGTATATATATATGAAAAAGCGAATGTAATAGTTAGTTTAGATAGTTTCGCTTTTGTAATTAATAAACTTCATTTTGAGTAATCAATAAAGTACTTGCCTTAGTATAAATTGAAAATCGGAATAAGCCAAGCGATCAAGTGCTCGCCGTTCGGATTAGGTTTTCTTTGACAAAAGTTATTGATTAACCCGTCACATCAGCTAATGATAATGAAGAAGTTGCTACATAAGCAGCAGCGTCAAGCAAGACCAATACCTTTGATTTATCGCAATTTAATCTTTTAATCATTTGTGTTCATTTGAGTGGAAATCTTTGCCCAGAAAGTTGCATTGTGCAGAATAAGCGAAAAAGATTATATACAATATCTTGATTTATTTCAGAATGTAAGTTATCATTAATCAGATATTCATGAATATTTTTAAAAGATGACTCTAAATCCTTTTCAGTTATAGCTTGAATAATAGGAGAATTATTTTCTTCAGCAAAACGTCTTAAGCCTATTACACTATTATAAAATTCTCTCAAATATCTAAAAAAACTTTGACCATAGGTTCAAGGAAAAGCTTCACCAACCAATTTAATAGCAGCACTTGTATTGTGAGTAAATATAACTTGATATTCAGCATTGAGTTAGTTCAACTCGTTGAGAAGTAAGCTGAGAACTGGGATTGTATGAATGAGGATTTCCAAAAAGATTATTTGTAAGATTATTAGTGAAGAAACTTATGACACTTTTTGCATATATAGTCGCACCAGAATGATCAAGATAAACAGATCCTTGTAAGAAAATAAAAATCAATAAAAAATCAATTAAAAATCAAAAGTAATTTCAGTTGTGAATATTCATTTTCACATATAGAATCAATTCTACCATTGTATCCGTATTGAGAAGTAGATTCTTTTAAGAATTCTGATTTTTCAGAACTATATTTTAAAATAATTTTGTGAAAAGGATCTTCAGAGGTGCTAGGTATCATGATTTTTTTAACACTGAATATTTTGCGTGGATGCAGATATTTATATTCTTACGTAGTACCAAGCGTGAGAAATGATCGTAATTTATTAACTATAATACTCACTAAAGCATGCTATTATATCTATAAAGTGTGTATGACGAATGAAAGTTAGTTTAAAAAAATTATAGATGACAACAGATGGATTATATTTACGCATTGCAGCATTGATTACTGAATTATAACGATTCTGTATGACACTAATTACACAAACGATCTAAATGTCGTGATTAAAAGTTAGCTGATTTAATTCAACCAATCAAATTTTATAAAGATTACACGTATTAATAAGTTGGACAAACTTTAAGCTTTATAAAGTACATACGTACATATATATTAGACTTTATATTATGATTAACACGTAATGCTTATGCAATTACTTATTTTAAAATATATAACACAAAATGCACATATTAAATAGATAAATTATTTGTGAGTACATACAAAAGTGTTAGATTCGAATAACTACCTCAAGCTATATAAAATAAAGTGCAATGACAACAGCACTTATTATATATTATTTAGACATATTAAACTTCTTTAGTCTATTTAGTACGAAATGCAATTATAAAGCATAAATATTAAACATGTCAAACTTCTTTAGTCTATTTAGTACAAAATACAATTATGAAGCATAAATATTAAACATGTCAAACTTCTTTAGTCTATTTAGTATAAAATGCAATTATGAAGCGTAAATATTAAACATGTCAAACTTCTTTAGTCTATTTAATATTAAATGCAATTATGAAGCGTAAATATTAAACATGTCAAACTTCTTTAGTCTATTTAGTATGAAATGCAATCATGAAAAAGCATAAATATTAAACTATTTTATATAAAGATATAATTATGAAAGTATATGATAGTTAAAATCCAATACCTGTATAAATACAACAAATCGTTCTATATTTTTGACAAATTTTTCTTTCTCAACATAAGTTTTCTGATCAATTTTTCTACAACACATTGTAATAATGGGTAATCTAACAAAACTCGAATTCGTTTTTTGCTTTTCATAAAATATTAATTAATATATATATATTAATATATATATTATATATATATATTTTAGTATGTGCTTATAATGATAATATAATATGATACATTTATTTGCTGTTATCTTGCAATCAGGACCATCATATTCGACAAATTGAATTCTTAAAAGAAGAAGTAGTGATCGTATATTCTGATAATTCGAAAAAATATTTTAATTTCCAAATAATAGAATCGAATGGAATAAATTTAGAAAGTCAAATATATAATAAACTGGATATGGTACTTGAAGATAGCCAAAATCCTAGTGAAAAGACAGAAGTACAAAAAATAAGATATGAGATGCGTAGAGTTTTGACACAAGGTATTAATTAATAATATATATCTTATTTATTAATTAAATTAATAACACAAAGCAAATCCGCTTTGTGCTAAAAAGATAAAATTAAGAATATTATTTCTTAAAAAATAGATAATTTTATTTCTCAAGATTCAGAAAATGTAATATCTTTTGGATTTGATAATATTGATTCTCATAAATCTAATGAATTAGGTAAATATATAAATATTTAATATTTTTATATACATAAATTAAAATAAAATAATTTTTATTTTTCAAATTATAATAAAGATAATAATAATGCTAAACCCCAAAATAAAGATAAAGCCAATAATAGTTTAAACAAAAATAATGATAGTAATAAAGATATTAATGAAAAGGAAAAGGATGTTTATAGAATGAATGAAGATAAAGATGAATATAATAGTAGAGAAACAGAAGATGATGTTTATGAAACAGTAGAAGATAAATACAATGATAAAGAAATAGAAGATTATAGAATGGTAGATGATCAAATAGAAGATGCTAATAAAATAGCAAAAGATAATGATATGGTAGAAGATCAAATAAAAGATACTAATAAAATAGCAGAAGATAATGATATAGTAGATATTAGTGAAATAGAAGAAAATGAAATAGAGGATGCTAGTGAAATAGAAGAGAATACTAGTGAGATAGAAAGAAGAAATAAAAAGAAAAAATATGAATTACCAAATATCAAATCATCAAAAAGTATAAATAAAATTATTTTTATTTTTTGTTTTAAGTACTATATAATAATAAAATTTAATCAATATATATTATTTATTTTTTAGAATTAAAAATTAAATTTGTAGTTAAACCAACTTATAAAAAAACTTCTGCAAAGCAAATATTAGCAATATAATCTTACGAGTCTTCAAGATTTAAACTTATGACACAAGAAACTACATCAGCAAATTTAATAGGGCATAATATTGCCAATAATTTACGAAGCATAAGAAAACAGTAATATTATATAAAAACTTTCGCAATATTGCGAAATATACAATAACAAAATATTATGTAAGATTATTATGCAATATTACGCAAGAAATTACGCAATTTTACGTAAATATTTGAAATAATTCAAAACAGATCAAGATAAATAACTATTAACTATGAGAACAAAATAATTCGAAATAGTTCGAATCATATTAAAAATGTTTAAAAAATTACACTAAATTAAAAATAAAGAGCTATTATTTTTAAAAGTC